GAGAGAGAGAGAGAGAGAGAGAGAGAGAGAGAGAGAGAGAGAGAGAGAGAGAGAATCTTGGGTGACAATTTCACTGGATCCAGAATCAGTTAAGATACAGTACCAGCTGGGTACACCTGTAAGGAATTTTATTGGTATTATTTGTAGTATGCAGACCCACATAAATGTGTGCTGCAGTTTCTAGTGACATCCAGATAAAAAGGGATTTTTGCCTTTCTTGTTGGCAAGCTTAGTTACCCTGTTTCTGCTGTATTGTTCCACTGATACTAAAATGTGATAGCAAAACTAATATCAAAATATAGACTGAGGTCTCCAGGAAGCATCATTGACTTTAGTACCAAATTAGGATTCATGAGACATCCAGGCTTATGAACTAGGAAGCTACCAGATTCTAAGTCTCTCTAGTAATAAGACAGTCATTGCTTGACTATCCAAAACATACCTGGTAACCCAATCTAATAAACACCCCTTTACTATATTCTCATTCTATCAGCTATTTTCATCTAGAGAAGAGTGAATAATATAGTGTGTATTGGATAAGGACACAGGATAAATATACAAATTATTCACATCTCTTCTTCATTATTGTGAATTTTGAGATTTTTACCCCTCACTTCCTTTCTGGTAGCAGAGTTTAAGTAAGCTTCTGTACTATAAATTCAACTTAAATATCTTTGTGTGTGTGTTTGTGTGTATGTGTGTGTGTGTGTATGTGTGTCTGTCTGTCTGTATGTATGTCTCTCTGTGTATAAGTCTGTGTATTCTGTAGTGTGAGTATACTGGAATGTTTTTACAGAATTATTTTAGTCACCCTACACAGAAGTGTAGGATAATGGATATAGGATAATGGATAATGACATCCTAGTATGAACGTTACTATGCTGAAAGGCATGAAAAAGTTTCATCACTTACATGTGGTGGTCCTTCTGTATATGTGTTGCTTTTATTGGATGAATAAAGAATCTGCCTTGGTTTGTGATAGGGTAGAGTATAGCTAGGTGGGGAAAACTAAACTGAAGGCTGGGAGAAAAATGGTGGAGTCGAGAGAAGACATGTAGCTGCCAGGGGGGAAAGATGTGAGCTGCCAGCTGAAAACTTGCCAGTAGGCCATGAGCCTCATGGTAAAATATAAACTAATAGAAATGGGTTAATTCAAGAGATAAGAGTGATCTAGAAATACGCATAAGCTAATAGGCCAAGCAGTGTTTTAATTAATACAGTTTCTATGTGATTATTTCGGTTCTGGGCAGCCAGGAACAAACAAGCTGCCCCTCCAACTATACTCACATAATAAGACTATGTGGGGAATATCAGGTGTCCTCCACACAGGCCCAAAAATGATGTGAAAGAGAAGGGGGAAGACTAGATTGCAGTTTTAA